CCCTACTGCTCCAAATACTTGTATCACTGAAGTAGTAGCAACTTAGGGGAGTAAACCTCGATGAGGGGATGCTTCTGAATCCCTCCTCCTTCATGCTCTAAAATACTGGCTTAGCTGAAATAGCCCCTGTTGCCACGAGGAGGGGAGAGGGGCTTGTGGCTGGCCAGCTTCTTCCCGACCTGTGCTAGACTGTATGAACCACCACACAGACAAAACTTAAGCTGTGCTATAGAACTTAACGTTTAGTTTCTGTTAGAACACATACTAGGGCTTTTTGAAACCGCTTTGTTACATTGCTGTAGTCTAAATGTCTAGAATATTTGATGAAAAGTCTTGATACCTCATAGTGAAAGAAGAGCCTTGAGTTGTGAAGCTGAGTGTTAATCGGTGTGCAAAGTAGCCTGCACTACTGTGGGTTTGCGTGTGCTGCTTCTGTTCATCTAAGGGAAATTCAGTTTGTCAAATCAAGTAAACCTGTTTTATTGTTAACCTGGTTAGGAAAATGGAATGGTACATGACATACATCTATCATCAGAACTTCCACTGCAGTTAAACTACGGATTTGTGTACAGCTTTTGTCCTTTTCCCCTGAAGTCTACACCATGGACTCATGTTGCAGGAGAAAGGGAGTCTTGGACGTCGTAGAATTTTACTAATACATTAAGCATGCTATGAAAGGTTGCAAGACTCCTTATGTACACGTACATTTAGAGAATGAGAATCTGATACGTTTTTCATTGTCGAAAGTGAAGAAAACTATTACATTTGTGTTATGCGCTTTTTGGAGAGACATATTTTTAATATGGTCAAGAACCATGTTAGAAGAAACAACGGTAGAGGCAGGAATAGATTTATCCTGTAAAACAGGAATGAAGTGCCACCTTGCACGGGCAGTTACCAGTTTTGTAATAAATTCTTTTTCTTGGACTAACTCAAGCTGTATGACAGCTTTATGAAGGGTATGAGAGCTGAGACCCTTGTCATGAAACAGAACAGATTTTTCCTTTACAGTTGATAGTGACGTAGGTAGATCAGTTTCTGAGGATGAAACTTCTCTCTGCACAGTGGACATTCCGTCTACAAAAAGAAAAGAAATTAGATACATGTACTGAATTTCTGTATTTAAAAGTTAAAAAAAAATCCAATTATAACTGCTTAGCTACTTCTAGAAAATAATCAGCATTAATAAGTAAAAAAAAAAAAAACACCCACATTTTTTTCAGTCCAGTTTGTGATGGAAGCTTAACTATGTAAAGCACTCTAAGCTAGCCCAATTTAAAGAGCAACTTGAGGTGATATGGGTGCTTAAAAACTGCATGGATTCTTCACAGTTCTTTTGGAGTGTGTTTAATCTAGCTGGCAATACTACTTCTTCAGTTAATTTTGCTAACAAGAGGAATCAGAAAAAACTACAGTTCGAGCCAGTATGGGGAAACACTTATTCATGTACACTATTATTTAAAGATATTGTCCGTGTTATAAGATAGTCTTGGTTCTGTAAATTGAGGCTCTTAAATTTTTGTATCTTTGCTTGGTGAATCCAGTAGGAGAGTCAAAGGATTCATTAGGTCAGCACATTCCAAAAGACTAAAAGTTACTACAATAGTAACAATTATTGCCAGTGTTAAGAAAAAACAAGCCTGAGTCTGTGCCTGAAACAAAAAAGGATGCTGAACTGCTCTTGGAGTAGTCAGTTCCTTTAATAACTCATTTCTTCTGATGGCTATCTGATTAAAAAACCGTCTGGGACACTTGCTGTTACAGTCTAGCAGGACAGTCTCAGTTCAAGGGCTCTCTTTAGGTACCTGCTGCAGTTACACTCATTCCCAACACTCATTCCCAGACCAGTGAGTCAGTTTTGTGAAGGGACCCCCCCCAGCTAGCTTTCAGTTCTGTAGCACTGGTAGTGCACTTGCACATCCAGCTGAAACTTCCTAACGTTTGCTACTTCCACTACATTTCTCTTTCAGAAACAAACAGCTGATATGCTGAAAAATGCTAACTGGGGAGGCAGGTAGCATGGCTTATGTTAGGCAAACTATAATTTTTTTTAAACAAGGATTAAATGAATCTGACTACCCAGTAAGAAGAGCATCTATTTTCACAACTTTGGAAAACTTATCTGAGTAATTCAGTCGATTACCACCCCTTCCCTGCAGCTAGACAAAAGTTTCTACCACAGCTTCTGACAGCATTCAGGCAAGACTGATGAACATTGGCTAGGTCTTTACAAGCAAATCTGAAGTGACTCCTTATGTTTCTTGATTTGTGTCAGGAAGGCAGTAGCTCATCCCAAGCTGCATGCTACTCTGTGTCTTCAAATGGTGTATCTGTCGTGGAACTTAACAGCTTGCACAGGTACAACCTTGGTCCATTTAAATACAGGTCTTTGGCTACACTGATTATAGTGTCAAGCTCGATTCTAGATCTTAGGGAAATTCTCTGAGAAGTTGTATTTGCTTGATTCTGTTCCACCACAGCCATACTAGTATTGGAGTAGGAAAATTTAAGAAGATCACACCACTCATTTCTAAAACAGCTGCAGTAATACATCTGAGTTATAGCACAGGCATAGCCTCTGTGGCAAAGATTTTATTTGTAAGTAACACTTGATGCCTTTTTTCTGGCAAGCAGTTTTCACACTTTTGAAAAAATAAAGGGACAACGTCTTATTCCATAATGTCTATAAAATCCTTAATGGAGGAAAATTCTGTTGTATTTCATTAATCCAGCACAAAATCCCAATTAAAAATACCATGCCTAAGAGCTAGCTCAGTTTGGTTGTAACTTACTCTTTTTTACTGGAAATCAGTTGAAGAAGGCCTCAGAACATGATCGCTTTCGCTGTTCCTTTGCAGTCAGAATTACAGCCTAGGTCTATAGGTAAAGGAATTATCTCCAGGTCTGACTTCCACAGTAGTCCAATTGCATTTCAGTGGTTGGGACAGAAAACTGCTCACCTTACTTACTTCACCTACGTAATGCATAGTCGTTCTATTCTGATAAAATACATGGGTCCTGGTAAACTCTCGTGTGGGGATTTTGAGTGCCTTAGTGAGAGAAAGGGTATTATTTCATCACCCAGGCTGACAGGTCTGTTCAACTAGAAATTTCGTCATGTCTACCCCTTCCAGCCTCCATGTGTCCTTCTGTACTTACTCTGGTGTTACACCACTCCGTGATGCATTCCCAGCAGAACAGGTGGCCACAAGGTGTGGCTGTTGCATGCCTCCGTTCTTCCAAACACAGAGTGCAGCGGGAGTGGCGCCCGGCGGTTCTTTCCTTGGTCATAGTTCTAATGAACATAGTTACATATTACTTAATTTTACTTTACCTACTTGTAAGAAATATTTGATAACACAATTCTAAAGTAAACCCCATCTTGAAGAACTAAACTTTTTGTCAAATCTCAAAAAGATGAAAGCAAAGCATGAAATCTAAGAGATTAGAACGGTGAGGAATGCATCAAACACTACATCAGTTCCAAGTTACAGTGACACTCCAGTGTTCTCCCTGTTGATGAAAGCTATTACATTTCCCACCATTGCTTCCACCTCTGAGAAAGTAAAAATCATCATACTTCTGATGAGCTAGGTTGCGGTGTAGTTTCCATTCCTGCCTTGCTCTCTGCTTCTGTTTGAAGCTGTACATCTGAACACCAATTGTTAGAAGAAGATGAAGTAGTGAAATTATTCCAAGAAACTTGTAGCTTGATCGAATACTCTGATCTTCTCCTTGTAGTCCTCCAAAACGCAGCTACATAATTCACAGAAATAGAGATGTTTCGTTACTGCAGTTTTATGAAACTGTGCCCCTCCCCATCAATAAACTCCCAATTTGAGATTCTCATTTCTGTCCAAAAAACTGACATGTTTCTAGGACTTAACAACCTGCTGTCTCTCAGGAGGTCTAACGTGTCCTGGATGCATCTGTCAGTCAGGCTACGCTTAACTGCTGTTTGTGCAAGGATCAGTTGTCTCGAGTTGTCTGGCTGCTTTAATTGGTTTGGTTTTGGTAAGTAGCTCTGAGCAAACAGTCAGGCACCTCTTTTCCACATTGACACTGGGAATTGTGGAGCAGGCTTCTGTCTATACACGTTTTTTTAGGAAAGATACTTATTGAAAAGACCATGTGAAATTAAGGTCTTCATATAGAAAAATACTGTCTAAACGTGTACTGATTTTTGTTCAAAACTATATGTATTTCCCATGGATTTAGTAAGTCACTTCTCACTTTTTCTGTATTTGTAGAAGACAGACTAGACTATGTAGTGAAGATAGAGTATTAACTCCTGACAGTGCATTCACGTTTACTAACTGTAACCTTTCATCTGTAGGGACTCACAACGGCTCTACACATTGTAATCGGCTACAGCCAAATTCTATATCCCTTTTACAGACAGGGCATCCCAAAAGATGCCAAAGTACTGCAGAGGACACCATCTTCAAACAAGAAACACATCCACTTACGTATGTGATTCCTGTGATTCTTTTGGACAGGTGATAGAAAGTGCCACTTATGTAGAATACTGCCAGATGTAGTCGATGAAGCAAAGGTATGCATTGCTTAAGAACATATACAATTTGTAAGACTGTCTTCTTCTGCTGCTCTGTAAGCTCCCCGACTTGTTTCTGTATCCAGTTCCGTATTAAGGTCCTGCTGGATGAGCCAAGTGCTGGGTTGCTCTGCGAGATTCTGGACTCACCAGCTTCTGTCTGCACCTCATGTTCCAGATGCAATAATCCCTTTTCTAAGCAATAGGGTACGACAGCATGAAGGGAAACGAAGATGGCCCGTCGAAGAAAAGAAGGTACCCTTCTCTTGCTTGAGTCAACTTGAACAATGTTAACATACTCTTCACCCAGAGTCTGATAACCTAAACGACGTGTGTAACAGAAAACAGGCAGGGTAAGATGGCAGTTGCAATGTCACTCTCTGTGTGGTTGAGCAGTGGTGACATGCTGCTCAGGTCAGAACACGTCAGATCTCAGAGTTTCAGAAATAGTTGTGGCTTTTTGTGTTGAATGAGGTGAGCATTATGTTCACAGCAGCAGCTGGAGCATCAGTTATCTGCAGCGCTTCTAGGCTTAAAGCAGGGATGCTTTTTCATGGCGTCATGCACCCCTTTTTTAAAAAGAACTTTAGCTTTTAAAAGGACATGTCTGGGTCGATCAACTGCTGCATTCAGACTCAAACTTCTGACAATTCGGTGGTTTCATATTTAATAAAAGGCATTTAGAGAGGAACGAAACAAAACAACCCCCCCATTAATCAGTCGAGCAGTCCCGTTCTGGTCGTCGGTCGCAGCAAACAGCGGCGGCCCGGGACACACGGCTCGTTTTCCGCACTTTTAGGAGAAACGCTGCACACGCGGTTACCGGGCGCGTTACCTGACAAGGTGGTGAGGGCGAAGTAGGCCACGTCGGACAGCAGCTCCATCTCCCTCCGCCATTCCAGCCACCTCCTGGCACCTGCGGGGTGCGGATCGCTGCGGTTACTCGACGTGAAACTCCCGATCTAAGCGCTAATTTCCCCGGCACTGGGTTAACCCCCGT